GCAGGCCCAGCCTCTCCACCAGGAAGCAGGAAGTGCTTCCCCAGAGGAGACCCAGGCTCGCAATGACAGCACGGCTGCCTGACGCCGTGTCTCTGTGCCCGCAGGTCCACTACTGCGCCAGCACGGGGACGACGCGCACCGTCCACCCCAGCGGCCTGGAGGTCGTGCGCTTTCCTGACAAGCGGACAGGTCAGTGGCGTCACCCAGGGCCTGTGCGACAGCTGCCTGCCGCGGGCGTGCGATGTGCCGGGCACCGTGTGGGGCCGTGAGATACGGGGGCCTGTTAGCCAGTTCTCCGTGGGGCCTCATCCGGTGACTCAGGGCTTGAGCTGCTTAATGAAAACCCAGGCGCTTCTCTCCCGGTTCTTCCCATCACGGCGAGCCCGCGGCTGCAGGGCGCTGAGTGCCTAAGGGACGGCACCAGACCCTCTGGCGGCGAGGGCACCATGGGCCAGCGTGTACGCCATGGGCTGGCATGTGCACCATGGGACGGCGTGTGCGCTGTGAGTGTGAGCTGGTGTGTGCACTGTGAGTGTGAGCTGGCGTGTGCCCCGTGAGTGTGAGCTGGCGTGTGCCCCGTGAGTGTGAGCTGGCGTGTGCCCCGTGAGTGTGAGCTGGCGTGTGCCCCGTGAGTGTGAGCTGGCGTGTGCCCCGTGAGTGTGAGCTGGCGTGTGCCCCGTGAGTGTGAGCTGGCGTGTGCCCCGTGAGTGTGAGCTGGCGTGTGCCCCGTGAGTGTGAGCTGGCGTGTGCCCCGTGAGTGTGAGCTGGCGTGTGCCCCGTGAGTGTGAGCTGGCGTGTGCCCCGTGAGTGTGAGCTGGCGTGTGCCCCGTGAGTGTGAGCTGGCGTGTGCCCCGTGAGTGTGAGCTGGCGTGTGCCCCGTGAGTGTGAGCTGGCGTGTGCCCCGTGAGTGTGAGCTGGCGTGTGCCCCGTGAGTGTGAGCTGGCGTGTGCCCCGTGAGTGTGAGCTGGCGTGTGCCCCGTGAGTGTGAGCTGGCGTGTGCCCCGTGAGTGTGAGCTGGCGTGTGCCCCGTGAGTGTGAGCTGGCGTGTGCCCCGTGAGTGTGAGCTGGCGTGTGCCCCGTGAGTGTGAGCTGGCGTGTGCCCCGTGAGTGTGAGCTGGCGTGTGCCCCGTGAGTGTGAGCTGGCGTGTGCCCCGTGAGTGTGAGCTGGCGTGTGCCCCGTGAGTGTGAGCTGGCGTGTGCCCCGTGAGTGTGAGCTGGCGTGTGCCCCGTGAGTGTGAGCTGGCGTGTGCCCCGTGAGTGTGAGCTGGCGTGTGCCCCGTGAGTGTGAGCTGGCGTGTGCCCCGTGAGTGTGAGCTGGCGTGTGCCCCGTGAGTGTGAGCTGGCGTGTGCCCCGTGAGTGTGAGCTGGCGTGTGCCCCGTGAGTGTGAGCTGGCGTGTGCCCCGTGAGTGTGAGCTGGCGTGTGCCCCGTGAGTGTGAGCTGGCGTGTGCCCCGTGAGTGTGAGCTGGCGTGTGTGCCGTGAGTATGAGCTGGCGTGTGCGCTGTGAGTATGAGCTGGTGTGTACACCGTGAGTGTGAGCTGGCGTGTGCGCCGTGAGTGTGGCTGGCGTGTGCGCTGTGAGTGTGAGCTGGCATGTGTGCTGTGGGCTGGCGTGTGCGCCGTGAGTGTGAGCTGGCGTGTGCCCCGTGAGTGTGAGCTGGCGTGTGCCCCGTGAGTGTGAGCTGGCGTGTGCCCCGTGAGTGTGAGCTGGCGTGTGCCCCGTGAGTGTGAGCTGGCGTGTGCCCCGTGAGTGTGAGCTGGCGTGTGCCCCGTGAGTGTGAGCTGGCGTGTGCCCCGTGAGTGTGAGCTGGCGTGTGCCCCGTGAGTGTGAGCTGGCGTGTGCCCCGTGAGTGTGAGCTGGCGTGTGCCCCGTGAGTGTGAGCTGGCGTGTGCCCCGTGAGTGTGAGCTGGCGTGTGCCCCGTGAGTGTGAGCTGGCGTGTGCCCCGTGAGTGTGAGCTGGCGTGTGCCCCGTGAGTGTGAGCTGGCGTGTGCCCCGTGAGTGTGAGCTGGCGTGTGCCCCGTGAGTGTGAGCTGGCGTGTGCCCCGTGAGTGTGAGCTGGCGTGTGCCCCGTGAGTGTGAGCTGGCGTGTGCCCCGTGAGTGTGAGCTGGCGTGTGCCCCGTGAGTGTGAGCTGGCGTGTGCCCCGTGAGTGTGAGCTGGTGTGTGCACCGTGTGTGGGAGCTGGCATGTGCACTGTGAGTGTGAGCTGGTATGTGTGCTGTGGGCTGGCGTGTGTGCTGTGAGTGTGAGCTGGTGTGTGCACCATGTGTGTGAGCTGGCATGTGCACTGTGAGTGTGAGCTGGCGTGTGTGCTGTGAGTATGGGCTGGCGTGTGCGCCGTGAGTGTGAGCTGGTGTGTGCACCGTGAGTGTGAGCTGGCGTGTGCGCTGTGAGTGTGAGCTGGCGTGTGCACCATGTGTGTGAGCTGGCGTGTGCACCATGAGTGTGAGCTGGCGTGTGCGCTGTGAGTGTGAGCTGGCGTGTGCACCATGTGTGTGAGCTGGCGTGTGCACCATGAGTATGAGCTGGCGTGTGCGCTGTGAGTGTGAGCTGGCGTGTGCGGCGTAGTCCTCCCTCCATTCGGTGTGGACTCAGGTCACAGCGTCCTGGCTGGAGCCCGGGCTCCTGGCTCCGTGCGTTCGCTTCGTGAGGCTTTAGTCCTCCCCGTCCCTGTGTGGGGTCCCCGTGGGGTTCATGTTGGTGGTGATTGTCCTCAGGGCCCAGCCCTCTCAGTGCGGACGCATCGGGCGGCCCCTCCCCCGTGGAGGGCTCTTGGCTTCCGCGTCCTCCACGTCCATGTCAGCACCTCCCTCGCCCCCAGGAGCCTCGCGTGAATGCGGCCTCTGGGGCGCGTGCCTGAGAGAGGGCACACGCAGTGGCTGTCTCCGCGTCCCCTGTCCCTGTGGTCACCGCTGTCTGTGTGAGGGAGGGATTCCGGCTTCGAGTGTCTGCCCTCTTTGCTGAAACTAACAGAGCCCTGGTCCTGGGTGAGCTTGGCGGTTTCCCAAAGTCCGCGCTCGGGGCCAGCAAGCCTCCCCCGACCATGGGCCTGTCTCCCCCGGGGCTGCTGGCATTCGGACGTGCCAGGGAGAGGCTGGGACCTGCTTCCTTCACGTGAAAGATGAGTGTGTGTAGCCCTGGCTGTTGGCTCAGTGGATAGAGCATCGGCCTGCGGACTGAAGGGTCCTGGGTTCGATTCCGGTCAAGAGCACGTACCTTGGTTGCAGGCTCGATCCCAGGCCCTGGTCAGGGGTGCATGCGGGAGGCAGCCAATCGCTGTGTCTCTTACATAGGTGTTTCTCTCGCTCTGTCTTTCTCCCTCCCTTCTGCTCGCTCTAAAAATCAATGGGAAGCTATCCTCGGGTGAGGATTAACAACAACAACAAGTGTGTGTGTGGGGACAGAGCATGTAGGGTTTGGTGCTGTGTGCAGGTCCAGGCATCCTCTGGGGTCTTGGGGCGTATCCCAGGGACAAGGGGACGCTGGAACATGCCTAAAAAAAGGGTAAAGGGGGCCAAAGGCAAAACTTCCAGTTAGAAATAAGTAAGTGCCAAGATGCCATGTGTGGGAGGGTGACTATCTATATACCAGAGGCCCGATGCACGAAATTCATGTAAGAGTAGGCCTTCACAACTGCGGCTTCGTCCGGAAGGTCGTCCGGAAGGGTGTCCGGATGGTCGTTCTGCTGTTTGGCCATTCGGTTGATTTGCATATTATACTTTTATTATTATACTAGAGGCTGGGTGCACGAATTCGTGCACTGGTGGGGTCCGGTCGGCCTGTCCCAATTGGGGCCGATCGGGCCAGGCTGGCCAGGGAGAGGGGACGCAGGAGGTTGGCCGGCCAGCCCCGCCCTTAATCGCTGTGGGGAAGGGGTGATTGGGGGTGGGGCCGGCTGTGGGGAGGGCCCACAGGCAATTGGCGGACCAGTCCCGCCCCCTGGTCAAACTCCCGGTCAAACTCCTGGTCAAGGGGACAATTTGTAGATATATAAAAGCCTAATATGCAAATTGTCCCCACGGGAGTTCAACCAAGAGATTGATCGCTCGCTATGATGTGCGCTGACCCCCAGGGGGCAGCGCGGAACGAAGGAAGGCCCCAGCCAGCAGCCTGAAGGCCCCTATCGGCCCTAATCACCGGCCAGGCCTACGGACCCTAAGTGTGCACGAATTTCATGCACCGGCCCTCTAGTAGTTAATAATACTTATTGCATATTTGCAAGTGGCTAAGAGATTAGATCTAGGAATTCTCATCACAAGGACAGACATCTTTGTGACTATAACTGTGTGGTGTGGAGGTTAACGAGCCTGGGTGTTGTGCGACCATTGTGCCTCCATAACGAAGTGCATGTTCTGCAGAGAAATTCCACCCCAACGGCTTGAAGGAAGTCTTGTTCCCGGACGGGACAGTGACACGTCTTCACGACGGACAAGAGGAGACAGTGTTTCCCGACGGGACGTCGGTCAGCGTGGCCAGGTCGGTGCTGGGACAGGCGATGCCAACCTGACTGTTTGGTTTGTGTCGTCAAGAATTTCTTTAGTGGGTGAGCATCGACCTATGAACCAGGAGGTCACAGTTCAATTCCCGGTCAGGGCACATGCCCGGGTTGCGGGCTCGATCCCCAGTGTGGGGCGTGTAGGAGGCAGCCGATCCATGATTCCCTCTCATCATGGATGTTTCTCTCTCCCTCTCTCTTCCTCTCTGAAATAAATAATAAAAATATACTTTAAACAAGAGTTTATTTAGATTAATTTTTTAAAAATATGTTTTTAATATGGTACATAGGTCGACGCCCAGCCACCGAGCCACACCAGCCGGGCGCTTTAGAGTAATTTGTGTGAAAGTGTAGGTGTTTGTCCCCACTTATTAATAGAACACGGGGTCACTGGCCCTGAAGTTTGGTGTTTTGACCTGAATTCCTTTGTGGAGAACATGGGTTTAACACTGATTTTTTAAAAATATTTTTAATTGATTTTTTACAGAGAGGAAGGGAGAGGGAGAGAGAGTTAGAAACATCGATGAGAGGGAAACATCGATCAGCTGCCTCCTGCACACCCCCCACTGGGGATGTGCCCGCAACCAAGGTACATGCCCTTGACCGGAATCGAACCTGGGACCCTTCAGTCCGCAGGCCGACGCTATATCCACTGAGCCAAACCAGTCAGGGCTTAACACTGATTTTAAGTGTTCTCTTCACCGGCGTTGGTCATGCTTGAATTGTAACCACAAAAGCAATTCCAGTCTCTGGAGTGTGCCCCCCTGAGACCATGCTGTCCGGAGGCGGAGTCCAGAGCGGACACACGCTGACACCGTGTAAGACACACGGAGAAGGGCTGTGGGCGCTTCTCCTGATGCAGAACATGCAGCACAAGACCCTGGACCCCCCTCCCCAGGCGCCCCTGCAGGTGGGAGGTTTACTCTCGCTGCTCCTTCACCCTGAGGATGTGGGACATGCACCCCCGACTCCTCTCCCCCTCTCCACCCAGTCACCACCACCAGCCTCGCCCTTTCCCTCCT